ATAACTTTTCACCAAAATAAAAATTTTCATAATCAAATTGGTTAAGAAATGAAGGCTCCAGTGAATTATGAACATTAAATTCCATTTTTTACCACTGTGCAGCGCAAGCACGTGTTTGCAAAATGATAACGAATTCATTTTGTATGGAAAGTCAGTATGCTCATATACATATTTGAATAAAATAAACATATTTAAAAGATATAAATAAATACCCTGTAGGAAATATATCTAACTATAAGCTAACTTTAAGTTGATTAGGAAGGATCTAAAAGTCACTTATTATCTGTATATTTTCTATATTTCTATGGCGATGGCCGCGAAATAGTTAATGGTTTACCTCTGCATTAGATGTAGTCAAGGGTGGTTACCCCTGCATTTGATGTAACTAACTTGTAACTAACTACTTTCAGACAGAAAATATCAATAGGAAAAAAAATGTTTTTTTTTATTTTTTTATTTTTATTTACATTAATTTATTACATTTCATATTTGTTTCCATATTATACTGTAGGTGGTCCCATATTCGAACTCCGTCAGACGTAACTTCAAAATGATAATATGAAATTTCGATCTTCCTTTTATTTGTACTCAATTCGAAAAAGTATTTGCGTAGTGCAGGATATTTAAATAGAAATGCGTTTAAAGAAAACAATCTCCTTCATTACTCCTGCATTACTTGTCAACTAGTTTCAAGTTAGCTTTTTGTAGCTAACTACGGGTTATGTATTTTATAGAAATGCCGCAAAAAGCTAACTACAAGTGGGTTATTTTTTATCAATTGATAATTTTTTTCTGCAGGGTACTTCCCATACACCAAACGAAAGGAAATGAGAGAAGAAGACAAAAGTTATGTGTGTGTAGGTATTTCGGCTTTTGAGTAACAGATGGAGAAATATTTATAACCTAATCGCGTATGTATGCAAATACATAGATACGTATATGTGTTGACTGCAGTTAATGTGGATCTGTTTTTAATTAACTCCTTTTTATTAGTAGCTTGGGATGTAACTATGTAATTTTAATGCGCCTAAAAGATGTGGAGAATTCCATTCACAAGTTACATACTTACCTGCAGTGGAATTCTGACAATCGCTACGCTAAATTGTCATTTGAAAAAACATCAACTGGAGTTATTATAAGCAAATACAGTGACTAAACTCCGCTTGTTGTTTTTTTAATACTCACAATGTTTTTCAAGTAAAAATCTTTTTGCATTTTTTGTAAAAGAATATTGTTTGAAGCTATTTACAACATTTAGAAAAATTAAAAAAAAACTTCGTCTAAATATTGAACCTTTTACTACGAATTTTTAAAACAATTTTGGGTATGCAGTTTTATAGCCCATGGTATTTTCGTATAACCAACAATATGCAGTAAAAATTCCCATTATATTTAAAAAAAAAAATTTGCCGCTGCTCTTTTGTGTTTTTTTTTTTCATTTAACAATTGCCATTTAAGTTAATGCCAGATAACTTTGTGGCTTTGCGTGACATTTATAACTTTACGAGCAAATCGCCAGACGCAAAATGTATGCCACAATGAACGCTAAGAAAAAAATTTTGTACTGCTTTTTCACTGGTCAAAATTGCTGTGGATTTTATATATTTAAATTTAAAAACATTAGCAATGTAATTAAATATGTTTCTGCATCCAAACTCCAATTCGGACGAAACTAAATAAATGTTAAATCAGCTGATTGTCAACGTGCGCAAAAAGATGGGAGTTGGCCATCTTTTCGCTTCGCGATGCAGCTGAAATGATCTATGCATGCTTTGTGCATTTTCATACACTTCATCCTATCTGTCAAAGTGAATCTCTAACGCAAAGCGAGGCAAGCGTTTTATCTGGCATCAGCTTTATAAAAACTGGCTTTGACTTTTTTAGCCAGTTCTTCTTCTAGGTGGCTCTAAAGCAAACATGTCAGACACCAACTAAACGGGCTTTTTTGCACCGGTGGTCGTCCAAGGTAATGGGGTCGGTTGGTCTTTCGTGGGATGCACCGTCGTCTGATGATCTACGCGACGATTGGTTAAACTATCGATCTAAGGTAGGGATGGAAAATCATATTTTCAAATTGTTTTAGACAAAGTGAATCATTTTCTGTCGTCAACCCCTGTCTACGTGCTGCGTCAGCTTGCCAGATCTCACTGGGAGCTCTTTTGACCGTTCTTCTGAAGCATTTGTTCATCTAAACCCTCTATATAAGCCAAAATACCGCGGTCGCTTTGTGTCTTTGTATTTCACCAAAATATTGATTTAGCTTCTGAGAGATCTACTAAATATGTAATTTATGTAAACAAATTGATGTTTAAAAATGTGTTTTGATCTACTTCACATTAAGTGCAATTAGATTTGAACCTTTCGAGCATTTACTCAACCTTAAGAAAGAATCAAAAGAGATTGGTTTAGCGGAGAACGAGTAGGTCAAATTACCTCTTCGCAACAAACAAAGGGGGCATGGCACTGTTGACAGCCATTACTTCCACATTAACTCTTGTCCTCTGGTGCTTATTTAGGCTTAGCAGGGGGCTTCAAAATGAATGGAAATCAACCAGAACTCCGCCAACTGTGCGAGTATAGTCATATCACCTCTCGAACTGCTGACACATCCGCTTTGGTGGCAGGGCACAAGCTGGATGGAGAAAGACATGTCTGTAACAGACAAACCGCTCTCGCACCATGGGAACTAAACGAATACAGTAAGCGCCGAAGATCCCACCATTTTATGCACTGCAGTTATCAATGCTGTACGATCTATTGAAACACGACAAGTGGGTGGACACATTCAAAGTGCTGGCTTATCATACGATCGGCGGTTCCCCATCATCTTGCCGAGATCCAGTCCTCTGGTCACGCTACCCATTCGACAAGATCACGAGAAAACCCTCCACCGGGGACGCAACTTCAGGCGCCAAAGGAGCCGTCCACAATTGTTCGATCTGTCGTCGACATCGCGTAGCGTTATTGATGCAATAGATGGCGTCTTTACCTAGGCGGCGCGTTAACGCTGTACGATCTTTTGCTGCTTCCGGCGTAGATTATTGTGGTCCGTTTATGTTGCGTGCGGAAACAAATAGCTCTCGCACAATGATTAAAATCTACCTCGCTGTTTTCATTTGCATGAACCAAGAAAGTTCATCTGGAAGCGGTAGACGACCTCTCTTTTCAGCCGTTCCTTGGTGCGTTCACTCGCTTTATTAGGCGACGAGGGCCATGTCGCGATTTGTACAGTGCTAATGGTACGGCTTTCATCGGTGATAATCGACTATTTCAAGAGGATCTTACCGCCTGGTATTTTATTTCTCCGAGCTTGCCGTATCAAGGCGGGCTCTGGGAGGCTGCAGTTAAGTCTGCTAAACACCATCTAGTTCGTTGTGTTGGTGCTTAGATGATGGGGAACAGCCAGATGCAGACTTTGGCGGCACGAGTTGAAGCGTGTCTTAATACGCGTCCCATGTTCCTACTTCATGACAATCCTTAAGACAAGCTCGCCCTTAGTCCAGGCGATTTTCTAGTGGGTCCTCGCTGTTAGCCGAACCAGAACCTGATGTCCACCAAGACTCTGCCAATGGACTGAAGCAGAGCAGTGGATGCCTCACCCGGACAGTCCATAAATTATGCAGCCTCTTGGGCAGCGAAGATTTCGAGACGAACGCCTCGACCGGGCAGGATGTTCAATATGGTTAAGCCACTTAAGAACTTTAGATAAAATTAATTAAACCTTGTTTTCTATTCATTTGTTTCGAGCCTCAACTTTCGAGTCTAGGTTACGCCGTGCGATAAAAATAAACAAATTTCGAAACACAAGGTTCACAGGGCCGAATAGGTATTGGAAATGTTCCTTTAATTAGTTTTATTTTTTTAAGCGAATAAAGTTAGAAGGACGAAATTCGAGGATGTGGCCGAGTGCATATTAGACTTTAACATATCATTTTTTCGAAAATTGCTGTAAAATTCCAAGGATTTTCAATGAAAAAGAGAAAAAACTAAAAACTAAACCGAAAATTTGCGAATATATAAAATTTTGTGTGTGTAAAATTTACTGTCGCACGGTGTTATATGACATTCTTTTCATTGTACATTTTACTTGTTTTTCTCAAAGTATAAAAGGCAAAATTCAACTGTAAAAGTTCTTCTTTTCCAATAAAGGATTACCTATCTTTGTAACATCATTTGTAACATAATAAATTAGAGAAACTCTTTTCGGGACTCAAGTTGGCATAGTCGTGCTTGGCCAATATATAGCCCTTAATGATGTTTGAGCTTCTTAATATTTAGTCTGTTCCTTTGAACTTCGGACTAAAACCTGTGGAACTGTCAAACTACAATTTTACTCTCTCAAATGAGAGTAAAAGGAGAACAGATACAGAAGTGCATGGGAACGCAAAAAGCACTATTTCCTGTAAAAATGGCAGTCGGTTTGATTACATGTCATTGGTACAACACTGATTTGGCTGAAATATCACTAACTGTTTATTAAAATCTATACATGTTCAAATATTTCATTGTTTACTTACATTTTTGTACAAATATAAGATTCTTTGTTTACACCGCTTTCTGTTTTTGTTTGCACATGCTGATCGTTCGACACTTTTCATGCACTTACAGGAAAAAAAACTCCCGACTAAATCCTGTAACTTCTGACTAGGAGCAGTTGCTCAGTTACTCTCTTAAAAGTGTTTCCACTTACAGGTTTTATATCAATAGGAACTACTTCCTGTAAGTTCTGACTAAATCCTGTAAACCGGACTGCTATTGGAACAGACTAATTATATATAACTTTATTAGTTTATTTTCCAAGAAAATTATGTAGCTGTTTTCACAGCGTGCCGAAAAAAATTTTCCACTCCCGAAATACCATCCAAGTAAGTATACAAATCGCTTGGAACAAATTAAACTTTTTTTGTGATACGATCTAAAAAGACATACATACATATGTACATATGCACGTATGTATGTATGTATATGGGGAAACATGTATGTATATTCCAAAAACTCACCAGGAAAGAACAAAGTACGTAGAATGATATAAAATAAGGAAATGCTATGCTTGATCCACAATCTTTGCGCGCATCTGAGTTTGGATCACAATGTACATCTTTATCGGTGGAGCATGACATCATAATTTCTTGCCAAGCTTCTCCAGTAGCAGATCGAAAAAGAACCAGTACCGCTTGTGGAAATGTTTGGAAGTTATTATTACGATGTATGGCCGTATCATCGCTAAGATTTATTTTCCCGAAAACCTAAGGTACAAAGTACAATTTTCAATAATTAATAGATGTGCAAAGATTTTACTTCTCGATAAATAATATACCTGCATTCCAATGACAGCATAAATGAAAAACAGCATTATAATAAGCAAGGCGACATAAGGTAGCGCTTGGAAAGACTTTATAAATGTCCATAGGAGGGTTCGGATTCCTTCACCTTTGCTCAACAGTTTAACCAGTCGCATGACGCGAAACAATCGGAAGAAGTTTATAGAAATTAAATTTGACCCAGTCTGTGCAAAAAGTAAATACAAACAAACAAATCAATATTTATTTCTCTTGATAAGCTCCGGCATGGGCGTAGTATATATGTATGTACCTTGGCTTTAGCTTTACATCCTTCCACAATGTCACACGCCAGAGACGAATTATCTTTATTCTTAAAAAAACGAATATCAATATTTCTTAAATCAATGGTTCTTCTGTTAAGTAGAGTTATGTATGTACGATAAATAAATGCATTGGCAAAGGACCAACAAATTTTTAAAGTATGTAAACGAAAGATAATAACTTAGCCAAATATTTTTACTCCGAAATAAAAGTCCTTTCCGGATAATAAACAAACCGTTTATCCAAATTAAACAAGTTTGGTATCAAATTAAAGAGAAATAAAATAGCTTTGAAACTGAAATATCTAAACGAGGAAAGCGCCCAATTGAAAAATATTTCAATAAGAAATGTTATTTAGTTACCTTAGAACAAACCTTTGGTCAGCTATAAGAATTTATTTTGTATTAAATTATAAAAAAAATATATATAAAGAGTGGTGGTAACCTTCGTTCGCTATTTCTGTTTAAAAGTCTTTTCAGTTCTCTTACATATGATATCAAATTTGTTTAATTTGATTAAGCGGTTTATTTTATGATCCGGAAACGACTTTTATATCGGAATAAAAAATATTTGGCCAAGTTTAACTCGTAAAAAAATAACGCTTCTTTTCTGTCCCTGCCTAACACTTTATAATCCAAATAGCCGGTATTCCGGATTGATATTTTGTAGTATTGGCTATTGTGTTATCCGAGTTCATTGTAATTAGTCCTAACTCGTTCTTCAAAATAAAGGCAGGGCTCGCTGCCGTAAAAATAAATAATTTTTCAAAATAGCATAGGTTACTTGAACTTTTGCATATCTTACCTTTATTTCCGAATACACAATATCAATAAAACTACCGAGCACTATAATGAAATCGAAAACGTTCCATGCATCCCCGAAGTAGTTCTGAAAATAGATGTTTGAAAAATAAAATGTTAGCAGCGGAAAAAGAGTACCACATTCTTAAGGTTGGTTTTAACTATGTCATATTTTGACAACAAATTTTGTCAACATAATTTGGCATAACTTGATTGTGAGCCAAAAAATGGACAGGTAGCCAATTTAGCAGCACATGTACACGACTGAAGACCTATTCTGATCTAAATCAATCGATAACCCGTTTTTTAGTTCCATTTGACAATGTGTTCTCACTTATTTGACGACAAATGCCATTGAATTTGACATAGTGAAAACCAGCCTTTACGAATAAAACATACATACGTACATACGCACATACACACATTAGGGTGGCCATCAAAAATGCTTTTTTTTGGAAAAAAACCCATATTCCTCTTAATTTTTTAAATTTTGACCATCGATAATTTCCACAATTTCAAAATATGTAGTACTATCTAAAATTAAATCTATTTGTAAATAATCTGATAGCTTATTTATTGCAATCGCATACAAATTGTCGAAGTTAGGCGACTTTTCTTAAATACAGCCTTGAGTTTATACTGTGTATGTACCGGACTTTCAGATATTTTGAGCAGTGTGGCTAAGGAATCCATCAATATTTATGCAAAATTGATATATACATACTAAAGCACTGCAAATATACCAGCAGAAATACTCTTCACATGTGTACATAAGTAAATGCAACATATATTTTAGAGTACTTAAAAAGATAGGAACAAAAAAAGAGTACATCAAGCTACATAAAACACTGTTCCGCTTTTCCAGAGTACTTGAGTATGTTGATTGCATTCAGTAGTATTTGAAAACTTTATAGGAAATATAGGAATACTTATGAAGTTTTATCTTTTAAAATGTTAGCATTTAACATGATGTTAAGAAAAAACATATTTACATTTTCTTTTTATTCCAATATATACTTAAAAGCAAAAAAGTTCGAATATTTCATACATATTATGTAAGTTTTTTAAATAACAAAAAATGTGTGTCCATTTTCCCGTGACCTGTCATTATGACCAGATTTTATTGTCAAATTGATATTTTCATTTCCCAATACCAGGCGCTCATACATGTGAAGTAACAAGTTTTCTATTTCTAAGCAGAACATTTTTTGTACAAATTTTTAAATTTCCAAAATTCTACTTTGCGAATTACCAAAGGCTTCTACAAACGAATTAAAAACTTCTACAAACAAATGTATGCATAGGGAAAGATTGATACCTCATATGTATGTGCGCCTGGTATGGGGAAATGAAAGTATCGTATTGTACAAATAAAAATCGGTTTTCTGTATAAAATAAGTCCACTTTCTTTATAAAAATATGCTGTTGGCTAAATATTCGGAGCGCCCTACATTGTTTATCCATGTTTGCTATTTAACATAAGTGTTAGCTCTAACATTAACATTATGTAGCATTAAACGAAAACTTCCAAAAATAAGGCCTGTATGCAGCTCTCAAGAAAAGCAAAAACTCCACATAAAATGACGTACAAGAAATGGCTAAGAAATTTTCTTGAGTCAAATTTCCTTAAGGCAGTACGCAGTTCTTAAGAAATTTACTACGCTTTCTACTACGGTTTTCTAAAGTTTTTTGTGAAAAAAGAGCACAAGGCAACCCAGGTTTGCAACAGAAATATATGCCCGTTCCATTATTTCTTGAGGAAAGAGTGAGGCAACAGGCTGTGAGGTATCAAAAATGTCAAAATTCCTTGGACACACACGCGAAATAATGGCAATTTTTTCTTGACCGTTTTCTTGAGAGCTGCATACAGGGCTATACTCAAAAAATACTTGTGAAAGAACATATTTTTTGTGGAAGTTTAACAGCATGGTACTGCTGATTTATGTTCCTCTTTTTTTCGGAACATAATTTATTTGAGTACTTTTTTTTATGTATACAGCGCTCAACATCTTCACTTCTCTTCCTTCCACGCCCTCTTTGTTAGAGTATGAGTAGTTTACATATTTGAAAAAAACTCCACAGTGAAGCAAACTGAATTCCAATGCAGACCTTTAATACATACAATCACTATTTAGCAAAAAATTGGTTTTTCCAAAAATTTTCGGAAAATGAGGGTGGCACCGACCACTTATATCATATATGAAGGGGTTAGAATCACAAGGATCTAAGTAGTTCTGAAATTTTTTTTGAGATAATTAAGGTTAAAGTTGATTACCACGGTGGGCTTGGATCAGGTTTAACCCAAAAGTTCTTGCCCATCAAATATTTCTCCAAATTCTCATTCTGTCATCATAACCAAATGATTTGTGCTGAAAATGAAAATCTTCTATGGAAGGATTCGAAAGATATCTCAATTATCCTTAATTCTTCGTAGGATAGCTTTTCAAACTAAGTTAAAAATCATCCTACAGTAAAAATTTTTGAAGTAAAATCTTCGTCTATCCATCGCAAATAATATTCATTTAATTTTAGTGCAAAAGTTATTTGCTTGAGCTTTAAAATTTGCAAAAACCGCTAAAGCCCATGGGTTTTGCTAGTTTTTACGATGAGTGTTGTTAGTTATCTCGAAAATAACTTTCAGTTTAATAGCAATAAATTGCAATACTCGAATGGGTTTTGCCTCCTTTTTCTGAATTTACTGACTTTGTAAAAGAGTATTGCATACAAAGACATAGAGTTAGATACTCTTTTTAGCGAATTCTTAGTCGTTCACAGTTTTTGCGTAGTTAAAAAATTATTTAAGTTATGAGGAAATTTAGATGAACTCCTTAAAAAGTGGTACTTTTTCACAGCATGAGAGGATTTAGGAATAGAGTTTGTTTCCTGGCGCAAAGAGAGAAACCGGCTTCTAATTAAAATTTTTGAAAGTGAACTTCAAATTAAAAGTAATTTTAAAATGAAATGTATAGAATTGTTTGACTATTTAAACACAGAAAATGTGAAACAATGAAAATGTAAAATAATTTATTGGCTCCTGTTTATAATGATGTGTTCATGTTAAAATGAATAACACTTTTATGTTTTATGAACTTTATTTTATTAATATACCAAAATATTGTTAAAACAACAAGAACTCAGGCGTTTTAAATTATTTTCTGTTACTTACATTCATAATTTTGCTTTGAATAAAAATGTACTGAAAAGTACTGATTTTTTAGCATGTAAAAGTCTAATGTACTGATTTCGCGCCACAATAAATAAGCTTAATGATAGCTTATCAGATTATGTACAAATAGATTTAGTTTTAGATAGTACTACAAATTTTGAAAGTGTGGAAATTATTGATGGTCAAAATTTAAAAAATTAAGAGAAATGTGGGATTTTTTTATTTTACCCGATAAAAAATCCCAACAAGCCAAGTTCGACAATAGATTATTATTATCTTAAAGGTTTATATATCCTCTTCTTAGATCATATTCGTTCTTTGAAATCGAATCAAAAATAATCATTCAAAAACTCATAAATCTACAAAATCGCATTTTCTGACCTAAATCGACAGAAAATCTATAAAAATAGGCAGTAATATTTCTCACAAAAGAGAACAAAATTAGGGAGTAGGGTCTTGAAATTTCCAAAAAAATGAATTTTCGGTGGGCACCCTAATACATATCTACATATGTATGTAGTATATATGGGCGAATCTTTCCACCAAAAATGTCTTTGGAACTTTCAAGTGGAAATGTTAAAATGTCAAGTGGATTAAACACCAACAACAGAAATGAGAACCAACCACAAAAATGAGGATTAAATCCGTTTGAGATTAAGTTTTCAACAAGGGACGGAAAATAATTATGGTTTTTTTTTATTTTAATAAAAAAATTTACATGTTCTAAGCGTCCCAGAAAACTCAGAATTGTACACATGAATTTTATTTCTTTGCTCAAAAACGTCTACCATTATTTAGTTTATGATTATTATGAGTGGTTATTTAAAAAATTATGTTCTTTAGGTTAAAAATAATGATTGTTATTGAATTAAATTTTTTTACTTAAGAATAACGATAATTTAGAAAACTCAAAAGCTATACATGTCCTCATCAGAGGGAGCGACACCATAAAAATAAGAAATAGGAATAAGGGTTACAACTTTTTGAAGAAAGGAATAAAATGAAATAAATAATTAATATTTTTGATCACTTATATGAATCATAGTCCCTGTTATGCGTTTAAGGTAGGAGTCGGCAATCATTTTTAGGACAATGAGCGGCATTAAAAACAATCAAATTTAAGAACTATACTACTTATTTATCAAAATAGTTGAACCTTTTTTTTATAGTCTAATGATTTTTGCCAAATAAAACACTTGATACACGCGCTATGATGGACAGCAGGTCGGCCCGAAATGCATACGTATGGACAAATAAAATAGTTGTTTTGTGTCAAAGCTATCAAATGTTTTATTTGGCTAACTAATTTTGTAGTCAATAAAGGAAGCACATTTTTAACTTAACAAAAAGGAAAAAAAAATCAAATTTAACTTTAACTTAATCCCTGCGTTACTATCGTCAGGGTGTAACCTACCCAGTGTGCTTAGTTTCTTAAATAATTTAAATGTATAAAGGAAAATCATCAAAAACTTAAGACGTAATCTCCGACACCTCCGGTTTTTCGGCCGGTCCTAGGACCTACTGGTCTCTGAGTAGTGGAATGGGCTTTAAAGTCCTTTCAGCCCTACAACCCTTGAGGAATCTTGAGGGAATCTTTCCCGCTCAACTACAGGACATACTGTGTCCCTTACTTTCTCAGATTTTTACTGGGGGCCTAACCCTGACTCACATACCACACGAGTGGACAAAAGGCAAAGGTGGTATTCCTACCAAAAGGAGGCAAGGCCGCTCATGTGAAACGGAAGGATTTAAGGCCTATAAGCCTCACTTCATTCTTTCTTAAAACTCTAGAGAGGCTCATCGACGAACATATTCGACGGAATATTAAAACTGATAACCTCTCCTCGAATCAGTA